TATATATATATTTATAATGATACATTGTTATGTACATATTGTATACTGTATCAAATGTTGTTTCTATTTTACTATGTGCAATGCTTCGAAATATCAATAAAATATCGGTTACTCTCATCATTTTAAAACAACATTCGTGTACTGAATTTTAATTACTACTGAAATTTAATATATTATGCTTTCAAATTTTTAATACATCTTAAAAATATGTTTGAAATGTTAATTATTTCAGAAAAAGTAATTTCAAAATTTATGTATAATTTTGATTTGACACTTCTTTTTAAGAACACATATCAAATAGATTTCTGTATTAAAAAGAATTATAGTACATAAGAGAGAATATTTTCTGTAACTCGATAATATGTTATTCTATTTTAAAAATTGATTAGTTCAAAATTTCGTAAAATAATAAGCATTAAAAAATGCTACTTATCATAATATTTGTCCTTTCAAAACGAACAACTTTTCTTTTTAATATTTTTTCATATCATTAAAAACAACAGAGATATTCTAAATAATCGATTGACAGAAAACACCTCGTACACGAATTACAACGTGATACGAGTAAAATTCATTGTAATTAATCAACAATACCTATCATCATCTCGCATTGGAAACAACATTGAGGAATTTGGAACGTGGCCCTCGATACAGAATGGCCGGAGATGATCATCATTTGGGCCTCCTGTTGCGGTACAGACATAATATAAACAATCGATATTTCGGACATTTAAACATCTAAAATAGCATGATAAATACGAACGATTGGAATTATTATTTAAGAAACGATCATTCTCGCTAACTGCCTCGCCTTTGCGTAGTGAGAACATCTCAAATGTTAGAGCAGTGGCAATGCGTCTTCCATAACAATGCACTTTTATCCATATCACAGAATTGCAAAATTGCTCGATGCAGCTTTCCTCGATGGCCTTTTCGTTCATTGTAATGACTGTAGTAATGACGGATCGGCAGACATCGATCGAAATGCGCTTTCGGTTTGAAAATCTTAAATATGTCCACGTGTTTCGTTTGTTTCATACCCGAATTCCGAATTTATCGGATTTACATATTTCGTAAAGTGTAAATTCTATAAATTCCGATGACAAAACAGAGAGAAATATAACAGAACCTGCTAGTAGAATGTTTATAATAAATAAAATTGTGTTATTTAGAAATGCTCCCCTCTTAAAGATAAGTTTTAAAATGATAGATTCTACTTAATTTCGGTTGGCAATCTGCTGTCAGATTAATGTCCATTTCTATCAATGTAGATTAACTTTCATCTCCATTTAATTTATTTCTTTTTTTTATAATTCTTAAAACTGGAAGAAAAATTTATAAAAATAGATACCTTCATGATTTTTTTTCTCGCAAACTCTGATAGAGAGAAATAAAATTACATCATTTCTGTAAATCAAGAAATTTGCACATACAAAAAATTACGTAATAATTTTAAAAATGCTCGGAACGCATGTTTTTATAAATATGATAAGTGTAAATTTGGCAACTAATTATATATATATATA